CACCATAGAACCAAGCCAGACAAAGCTGATTCCTCCGGAGAGCCTGGAATTCTCAAGAGCAGGCGTTGCCAAGGGACCACACCGATGTTACCAACACGCCAGAGCCCCAGGGCTAGAATTTTCTAACCGCCGCCAGCGGTTAAAGGCGCGGTTGTGATAGGAAGAGGAGGAGACGGAGAAGAAGCCCAAGCCCGGGAGTAGCTCGACCACACGCGAGGTCCCAGCCGCAGCTGTCTTCACTTTCGTTTCCCTGGGATCCGAGGTCCGTAGTCACCGCGGTTTCGTTTCCGAGGCGTGGTTGAGGGCGCGGCTTGGGGGACCCATGGCCCTAGTAAGCCGCCCTCGAGCCCCACTGTGGCTCGGGCGACTGTCGCGGAGGCTGTGCGTTCGACACCAGGCCTGCATGGGGACCATGGCTCGGCCGCGGCGCTTCACTGTAGAGCTGCCTGATTGCTCCCTGACTCACTTCGTCCTGGGGGACGCGGCGGGCCACAGGGATGCAGGCCTGGCAGAGCTGCTCGGGCCCCCTGGGCGCAGCTACGCACTGTGTGTGCCACTGGTTCCAGGCGAAGGCTGCGGGCCCCGGGTGCAGGCGGCCCGGGTGCACCAGCGCCTGCTGCAGCAGCTGCGCCGGGGTCCTTTGCAGAGGTGCCAGCTGAGCAAGCTGCTGGGCTACGGTCCAGGCGATCAGGCTGGCGAAGCCCAGCATGGCTTCCTGCTGCGCGACCCTTGCGACCACCCAGACACCCGGCGCGACTTGCTGCAGCTTCTGGGCTCGTGCCAGGAGGCGGTGCGCCCGCAGTTGGCTGAATTCCAGGCCGACTCCCAGGGTTTGCTGTGGCAGCGTCTGTGGGAGTTGCAGGGAGACAGGCAGGTGCAGGTGGACTGCGCATGCGTCCTGCCGTCACTAGAGCCTCATCTACACCCATTGCTGCCAAATCTGCTCAACTCTGCGGTATTCCAAGACAGGGACGCTGCACGGGCTGTACTGAAGGAGGTAAGAGTTCTTTCCTTTCAGGGCTGAGTGGAGCTGGGGACTCTGCACTTTGGTTGGCCAATCAAATAATTTCCGCCTGGTCTGTTTATTCTTATTCAAGAGCCAGGTAGTGTAGGCCAAACGGGTAGGCTCTGTGTTAGACACTGGTGCTGCCTTCAATATTTCACGTGTAGGTTTCTGTCAACTTAGTGTCCCGTGCATCGTGCATCCAACACCTAGCTGAGCAATGTTTTCTGTTAATATATTCTCAAAGGCCTGCAGGGGGAGTAAAGAGTCCCCTAGAAATCAGGAGAAGGAAGTCAGTCAGATAAAGGGACACTTTGCTTGGCATTTGCTACCAATCTGGGATCTTGGGGGTGCAGGAGATACTACGTGCATCAGAGAGTGTAAGAGGGTGTAAGTATTCAACTGGTTTGTGGGCCATATGCGGCCCCTCAACTGCTCAAGCGCTCTTTGCTTTTATGCTTCCACATCCCCAACACATACATACCTGTCATCTGTAAGTGTTCCTGCAATGGAGGGCAAGGGATTTCTAGCACAGTCTCCAGGGAAAAGCCTAAGGTTGTGTTACATCTAAGCAGTGTCCGGGGCCTACTGGTTTATGTAGTTAACACTGCATTACAAGCGGTGGGGCAGGGCTAGCGAGTGGTGAAAAGCCTGTGGTCAGCTGATCAGATGATCTATCAGTTAAGCGCTTTCGGCTTGTTTCTCCAACACTCTGCCTCAGTTTCCTTAATCCATAAGGTGGCAATAATAGAAGCATTCACACAGATTGATCAGTCTAATACTTACAAAGCTCTTTGGAGTGTGCCTTGCTCGCAGTGAGCATACCGGTAAATGAAAGTGGGCCTCAGATGGTCTTAGGGGCATGGGATGTGGTGATGAATGGTGAGGAACTTCAGAGTCTCAGCAAATACTGCAGCAGCAGCTTTGAGCATTTTCCCCAGCCTTCTGGGTCATTAGGAGCATGTGCACCTTTGGTGGGGGAAGGGGGTTGGTGCAGGTGTACTTGTCTATAGGGTGGTTCTAGTTCCCCAGGCCTCCTGTCCCCAGCAGGACCTGTAGTTCCATTGGCTGTGGATGGAATTGCATGTCTACTTGCCCTTCCCATAGGATAAGCTGGCCAGTGAAGGATTGAGACTGTATAACCCAGATAATTGCAGCCTTTTTTTGAGCCTGACTCAGCTTCTAAATACTAGGATCCTGTGCTCCAGGCATTGTGTTCAATTTGGAATAGGCCTCTTTAGCATTGGGCAGTGGTGCCTTTGGCAGATACAGGTTCTCTGAAGCCCCAGTACTTCCTTGCTCATGCACAGATTTTTTTTTTTCTCTACAGTGCACATCCTTTATTCCAGAAGCCCGGGCAGTGCTTGATTTGGTGGATCAGTGCCCAAAGGAGATCCAGAAAGGGAAGTTCCAGGTCATTGCCATTGAAGGACTGGATGCCACTGGTAAGCAAACACTTACCACGGACTGAGTGGTTAGAGGAGGTCCTTCTTGCAAAAGCAAATGCCATACTGTGAGTCTCTGTGCCAGGCTGACACTGGGACACAAGGAAGAGTTAACAGAGCTTTCAACGGGTCTCCAGAGGACACAGTGGCCATACCCAAGCTGTATTCTAAGAACCAAGATTAGATCTAAGAGCAGATTAGGCCTTGTGGACAAGGAAGAGGGAAGCATTGTCTGGGAGAGGGGCAGTGCTTTAGCCAACAGGTTATGTCCAGAAGCCACAGGCCATTAAGAGGCCTCTTCTTAGAGAGTACCAGGGAAATGAGGCAATGGAGACTTCCTGAGCTGCTCAAGAGGAGTCAGAGTATGGAGATACGTTCACATTGTAACCAGAATATTCAAGCCAGGGGAAGGCTGATGGTGATGGACGCTTCAGACTTCTCCTGGGTTTCTTGAACGGATGCAGACTACTGGCTTGCTTATTTATTTATTTATTTATTTATTTATTTATTTATTTTTGGTGGTTGCATTGCTTTTTTTTTTGTTTTTTTGTCAACTTGACACAAATTAGTCATCTGTGAAGAGGAGACCTCAAATGAGAAAATGCCTTTCTTCATCAGATTGGCCTGTAAGAAAGTTTGTGGAAACATTTTTTTTTCTTGATTGATGATTAATGTGGGAGGGTCCATCCCGCTGCTGTTGGAGGTGCCACCTAAGGCAGAGGGTCCTGAGCTATATAGAAAGTATGCTAAGCAACCCAGGAGGAGGACCAAGCCAGTGAGCAGCATTCCTCCATTGTCTCTGCTTTAAGTCCTGCCTGTTAGGCTCCTGCCTTGAATTACTAACCTGCCTTCCCTCAGTGACGGAGTGTGACCTGGGAGTTGTGAGATGAGAGACAGTCGTTGCTTCCTGATAATAGATTTGATCAGTTGCAGTCACAGCAACAGAACACAAACTAGGGCCGCAGTGCTGGTGTTTGAATTTAGGGATTTCACACATGCTAGGTAAATGTTTTACCACAGATCCACGTCCTTGGCTCCAGACTGTTATCTTTAATAATTTCAAAGGTCCATTCCTCGTGGGCACCCCTTGTGTCATAGTAGCAGGGGGTTGGCTGTCATTCACTGTCCTGGCTCTGACGGCAAGTCATCCGGTGGGAGAAGTGTGTACACGACCTTCAGCTGGCTCTCATCACTGAGCCAAGACCTAGTCCAGGTTATTTTCAGCCACAGCCAGAATTTTAACACCAGCTGTCCATCTGCCAGGGGGTATTTATTTATTTACTTTTGATAATTTATTTTGTACTTAGAGATAATTCACAAACCTTTAGCCTCACACCCCTGTGCGCGCACATGTGAAGTTCAGAAAGTTATAATGGAGAGAGGAGAAAGGCATGGCTACTGCATCCTGGGTTCAGCCCCATCACAGAGGCTCCATTACCTTCGCTACTGCTCAGTGACTCAGTGAATGCTCTTCTGTAGAGCTGAGAGTTCAGAACATGGTACATCTTAACTCTTTTCTCATAGCACACACAGCAAAATGGTCAGTACTGTTGGGATCTGCCTGAAAGGACCAGAAGAAGAGTAAATGAGCAGTCGGAGATGAAGCCCTGCTATCTTGAGTGTTAAATATGATAGAGGGGAAAGGCTATCAGTATAAACAATTGGAACTCAGAGAAGTCTGTCAACAGCATCTGCCTAGGATAGATTATGCCTTATCATTGTAGGCCTGTGCTTCATACAATGGCTGGGATATCCAGGGCTATGCAAACAGGAGAGCAAAGATATACCTAAATATACCCTAAAGGAGGGACTTGAACTCTGATCTGTCAGACCCAGGAGCTTCAAACACCAAGCCAAATGACAAGCATAGAGTAGCAAGCATAGTGGGGGCATCAGGGGAGAACAGAGTGGCCTTTGGAGGATAGTTGAGAAGAATGGCCTGTGGCAGATGGACTATAAGGCTGGAGCAGATGAATTTTAAGAGGAATGAGCAGAAGCAGAAGAACAATGTGACCAGACCCAGAGGGAAGGAGGGAAAGGAGAATGTCTTAGTTAATGTCTGATGTTTTATAAACACCATGACCAAAAGCAACTCAGGGAGGAAAAGATTTATTTCATTTGATAGCTTGCAGCCCATCAAGAAGGGAAGGTCAGGGCAGAACTCAAAATAGGAACCTGGAAGTAGGAACCACAGCAGAGGCCATTGAAGGCATGCCACTTATTGGCTTTCTCCTCAAGACTTATTCAGCCTGCTTTCCTATACAACCCAGGACGTTACAGGTTAAAGACATCTGCTCTTCCCTGGTTAATTGGTTAATGTTAACCTTTGAGAGGGCCATGGCGGCTTCAGCTAGGCAGTGTTCTACTTCATTATGTCCCGTAGGTAAGACCACACTGACACAATCGGTGTCAGAGTCTCTCAATGCTGTCCTCCTACAGTCGCCACCCTCCTGCATCAGTCAGTGGAGGAAGATCTTTGATGATGAACCTACTATCATTCGAAGAGCCTTTTATTCTTTGGGCAATTATCTCGTGGCTTCTGAAATAGCTAAAGAATCAGCCAAGTTTCCTGTTATTGTAGACAGGTGAGTAGCAAGATGCCTTCTCTCTAAAATGTGAGTCACTCTTTCCTTCTGCATATATCTTCAGGTGCGCCATTGTGAACATATATAATGATTACAAGAGGAATACTGTCTATGAGTTATTAACTACCGACATCATGCTAATACCTGGAATAGTGCCTTGGGTAGATTGGAATCAGTTTCTGCAGTTAACCAATAAGGAATATGGGTCTTAAAAGTTTTGGTCATGGTCTGGAGAAGTAGCTTAGTGGTTAAGAGCACTGACTGCGCTTCCAGATGTCCTGAGTTCAATTTCTAGTAAACATATGATGACTCATGACCATCTGTAATAGGATCAGATGCCCTCTTCTGGTGTGTCTGAAAAGAGTGACAGTGTGCTCATATACATAAAATAAATAAATAAAATCTTTTTAAAAAGGTTAGGTCATAACTTGCACACATATTACTCCTCTTACCAACATAATCAACAACAGCCTCTAGTCTAATGCAGTGGGCCTATCCTGTGGACCCCACTGTTTCCTTTGCCTTTCTGACAAGAAGTTCTGAAACTATTGAAAATTAAGGATTGAAAGTGGGCACTTATAAGATGCAGACAATAATAGGACTTTCAATGATCACCCAGCCTAAACTGGCAGTCAGCTTTGGAAAATCTTCCAACCTAGGAATGGCTTTATTTTCTTTGAGAGCTTAAGTTTCTATGGTAACTATGTGATGTAGGTGATTCTCCTTTGATGTCAGATAGGAAGCTTTACATCTATTCACTTTATATTAGAATAAAGAATCTGAATGCAGCCAAAGCCTGGGGGATGCTTTCACTAATAACCCTATGCATTTGGGTCAGCTGGGCCCCACAATGAACACTAAATCCTGATGGGTAACTTAAAATTGTATATATAATGCTTGACACCTCTGTCCCTTTTGCTCTAAGTCATTGTCAACCATGGTTATCTTTGATTCTGTGACATTATATCTGTATCATGGGTGAACATCTCCCAGCACGAGTAGAGTCTACCACTAGGCAATAGCAATTTCATATGGAAACCACATCCCTCCTGACTGATCCCAAGTTTATGGTCAACTAGGCCATATCTAGTCCAAGACTGACTAGCTATGGCTGTATCTTGTATCTCAACATTTTCGCCTTTCCCATACTTAATATTGACACTTATGTCAGTGTCCCTAAGGGCAAAACTAAGAATACAGGTCCCTCTGTCATTCTGGTTTAACTGTAGTGACAGGAACCCCTTTCCTGCTTTTTACCATTGGTTTTGGTGACAGCATCTGGACTAGACGTGTTGGGACACATAGAGTTGAGCCCCTATTCTAGTGATATCATATATGTACTTATTTCTGTTAATATTATCCATTTATATATGCATGCATGCATCAATAGCCATAAGAAACATTATTTATTGCATACTAATAAATGCCATTCATTAGCAGACACAAGGAACACTCACTTATTGAATACTGACCATGTGCTTGATTTTATAGTTTTCAGGTTTGAGAATATAGAGGTAACTAAGAAACATTTCCCACTCAAGGAATGCAAGCTCTATGGGGGAGACAGGCTCTCACACCTGAAACAATAGCTGTGGACCCCAGTAAGCAGTTCCTTAGTAGAGTCTCCTCCTGAGTGTGGGGAGCTGAAAAAGGAACATATGCTCTGTGTGGGGCCGTCATGGAGCAGGACTGTGAAGGCAGAGATGGGACTTTGCTATTTGAGGGTATCACCTTGCTCGGAGACAAGGTGTGAAGATGGTTCGTGGTCTAAGCTGGGAGGAAGGTCCACCCCTCACAAGGAGACAGAAGCCTTTTCTATGGGTGGTGGATAGCTGATGGAGTTCTAGAAATAGCGTGCTGGATTCCTTTCCATGTAGGACCATGGCTGTCTTTTCTGGAGGCTGCTTGGCTTGGTCTCCTCTCTGCTTAATTACCACTGCATAGTCAGACAAGCAGACATTTGTAAAGAGATGCGGGGTCTTGTAGCCTCTATTCCGTGAACATAGATTTCATGGACAATTTGAATTTGGCACAGCATGGAAAATTCTCAGGCCTGCCATATTTCACTAGCGCAGGATATAACATTAAATACAAAGGCACTACTGAGCAGATCTGTCATCCCTACGTTACTGCTGCATCGAAGTTAGTGTATTGGTGGGGCTAGAAGGGTTTGACATCTGTTATTATGGTATATGGTAGTTTAAATCGAATATATGATTTCATGACTAGTCCACCTATTGCTACTGTTGTTGACTCTGATTTTTGTGTTTTCTACATTAAAAAAAAAAAACAATCCAAATGTATTTCATTTGTGTGGTGCTGTAAAGCCTTCAGCAGAGCCAGTCTGGTTGGACTCTCATCCTCAAATAGTGTTTTAACTTCTTCCAAAGATGAGAGCTTTTTCTGCCTTGTTTCTCAGGTACTGGCATAGCACAGCCACCTATGCCATAGCCACTGAGGTGAGTGGAGGCCTACAGTACCTACCCCCTGCCCACCACCCTGTGTACCAGTGGCCAGGAGACCTGCTGAAGCCTGACTTGGTCCTGCTGCTTACTGTGAATTCTGAGGAGAGAGTGCGGAGACTGCGGGGCCGGGGCCAGGAGAAGACTAAAGAAGAGGCTGAACTTGAGGCCAATAACATGTTTCGTCAGAAGTAAGTGTCCCTGGGGTGATATGAGTAGAAGTCCATGTAGTCCCTGAGACAAGATCAGAACTGCTGTAGGATGTGAGTGAAGGGCACGGTTCTAAGCCATTCTAGTCCCTGTCACACTGTGCTTGTTATCATCTGGCATTTGCCTTGCCACTTGAAAACAGTGGGGTTTCTGTGCCAGCAAGGGTGGGACCTTGATTAAGACCCATAGTTTCAGGGCTAGGGACATACTCTGTCAGCTATGAGCTTACTGTACAAGCGAGAGGACTTGGGTTTGACCTTCAGCAACTGTTTTAGTCAGTGTTCTCCTGCTGTGAGGAAACACCATGACCATGGCAACTCTCATAAGGATATGCATTTAATTGGGACTGGCTCACAGTTGAGAGGTTTAGTCCATTATTGTCATGGCAGAAAGCGTGGTGGCATGAACGCAGGCATGGTGCTGGAGAAGAAACTGAGAGTTCTACATCAAGAGCCATAGTCAGGCAGCAGGAAGGGAGAGACCCTGGGCCTGAATTGAGTTTCTAACCTCAAAGCTCACCCCAGTGACAAACTTCCTCCAACAGGACCACACCTCCTAATCCTTCTAAGCAGTGCCACTCCCTGGTGACTTAGTATTCAAATACATAGCCTATGGGGGCCATTCTTACTCAAACCACCACATGTCACTCTCCAGCCCCTATAGGCTTGCAACCATATCACAATACAAAATTGCATTTAGTCCAACTTCAAAAGGCCCCATGGACTATCTCAGTCTCAACACTGTTTAAAAAGCTGAAGTTCCAAGTCTTTCCAGAGACTCATTTAGGATAAAGTCTGGGCCTCAGTTACCTTCTCTGCCATGAGAATTAAGATGGTCCCTCCCAGTTAACTCGAGTATAAACTGAGAAGAAAGGACCAGGACACGTGACTGGCAGGTAATAGGTTGTCAGTAATTAAGCATCATTGCGGACATCATTCTTCATTGAACAAACGCCACTGAATATGTTTAGGGGCAGTGCTGGCCTTCAAGGTGAGTTAGATAGGGCTTTGCTCCAAGCTACAGTAACAAGGTAAGAAAGTTGCTTTTTCAGGATGAGTTGGGTGGGGAAAGAGACTGACCTCTCCCCTTTCTCTCTGCCTCTAGAGTGGAAATGACATACCAGCGTATGGAGAATCCAAGCTGCCATCTGGTCGATGCCAGCCCCTCGAGAGAGATAGTCCTGCAGAATGTTTTACAGCTGATCCAGAGTACTGGTCGTTAATTGTAGTTGCTCTGGCCAGGTTCCCCATTACAGCAGAAGAGAAGCTGTGTGATGCATCAAAAATTATCACTTGTCATGCAGCTTCTTAGATTTAGGTGGTATAAGCATACTTAGTGGAAAAGACTGGAGACTGAGCAGTTTGCTTTATTTCTGACTGACTGAGCCAGCCATAGCTGCTGATTCATTTCTGCCTGGCGATGTACCAGCTTCTTGGGATACATTCTAACACCGTGAATTTCTGATCCTGTGGTGAGCCTGCTGGAGGACTTCCTGCAGCTGGAAGCTAAGGATGTCAGCTTTGGCCCATATTGATCAATTGTGATGAGCTAGCCTCATTTGTTTTTACCTGAAACCCCATAACTAAGGATTGTTACAGAGCCTAGTTGTTCCTCGGAGTTATTCATGGGTGCAAAGAAGCCATTGATCTTACTTCAGAGGGTCAAGGAACACTTTGGACAGTGCCCTGAGTGAGCACCTCAGAATTGAATATATGTGTGTCCTGGAACTGCAAGCACTCCAAGCCCCTCTTGTTCTCGTTTGCTTGTCTGTATTCCATTTCTCAAATCTGAAATCTCGTTCTGAGTGTAATGAGCAGACTGCACTGATCTGGATGCATTGCACTTACCCAACACACCAATTTGTTTATATTGATGTTTACATCATGTGTTTCCTCAGTGTAGGAGCTGTGTGTGAGTCACACACACAAACTGAGGCCAAGGAGCTAAATGCAGCATTTGCTCAGTGTTTTCATTACACAAATTTAATTTATCTTAATAAGCACCGTGGATTCTGGAACGAGACTTCATGGTAAATTATCATGCATTTTGAATGTCTTCTGATTGCATGTGAAGTCAGCTTCGAGGGCTCTTTAGATAGAGAATTGGGCCCTGGAAGAGAAGCCTGGTGGCTCTGTAGCCTTGAGTTAGTCATTTAATATTGATAATGTCAAAAGTTTGATCTGAAAGGGGGCAGTTGGTGGGCTTCCAGAAATATTTACTTGGGAGACTGAGAAAGGAAAATTGAAAGTTTTAGGAGTTAAGTTCAGAACTAGCCTGGGCAGTGAGTGTAGTGAGACCTTGTCTCAAGATAAAAACTACGAAGTGGACTGGGGGTGAAACTCCATAGTGGACCACTGTACTGAATATTCTATCCTGGGGTTCAGGCCCTGGGGTCCATTCTCAGTACCATAAGAATGAAAATATAAACAGAAAAACAAATAAGCAATTAAACAATAAAAGGAATTAAGTCATGTTTGATTGTAAGAAGGTGGCTGGCCCAGATTGTTATTTAACATTCCAGTTCCAGTGTGGATGCCTTCCTACATCATTCCGATCCCATGTCCCATTTATTAAGAAGGATCTATCCTCAAGTAATAATATTAAATTTACAAAAGCCTTTACCTTAAGCTTAACCTATAAGATTTAATGTTAACATCTTAATATTTTTCACTTTGGGACTATGTATAACTTATAAATAATGTGCCTATGTATATACATATATACATATGTTGGCTTCTGTAGAACATATTTTTAAAGCTTATAAATAACATTAGAGTTCTCTGTAATGTGACAGCTACTTCTTGGAAGGGTTTTGTTCAAGCCTCTTTGAAATGACTGCACCAGAGGCTGAGAAGGAAGTCTTAGTGCTCTCTTCATGAAACCTGACAGTGAATAAACTTGCTCTGACATTCCTAACCCTATTTGTCATCATGGCTGTGTGACACGCTTGTCAGAATATCTCCCAGCAAGTTCGTCTTTCCATGGTCAAAGGTTCTTATGTATGTGAGAAAGTAGAGGCTATGGGTTTGGGTCTGAGTTGACTTGGTGGTCGATGGACTTTGGTGAGGGAGGATTTGTTTCAACCATCATTTTCACACTATAAATATCAAAAGGATTTTTAAAATTCCATTCTTTGTACAATGGAATAGGTATATGATTTACATTCAATAATTTAGGGGTTCCTGCCAATGCCAAGATACATAGCTCTGCTCACCATAAAGTGAGCCATATTCTTATTCCATGATGCCTTCTTTCACTCTTAATAATGGCTGTTCAACATAGCACATGGCTGTTAAGACTACAGGGCCCAGGTCTGAGTTTTTCATGCATGTAGATGTGCCTGAATGGCGGGGTCTGGTAGAAGGAACATGAGGAATATCAAGTGGATACAGCCCTTTTCTCCTTCTGTCCCTGCTGTGTTCAGGTAGTAGCCAGGAGTAGATCTGCAGAGGGAAACAGAATAGGTGTAGGTGTGCCGAATGAAAAGGTCTTTATTGCTCATGGGTACACAAAACCGATGGGAAGTAATGCTCATAGGTCTCAGGTACCTAAAGTGTAACTTGTTGTTGTTTGCTCTCCCACTTTCATGTGCAACCACTTTCCTACTGTACTAGTTAATATTGATTGTCAACTTGATAGGATCTAGAATCACCCAGGATACAGATCTCTGGTCATGTCTACATTGGAGATACTTGAGTCAAGCAGATCCACTGTTAATAATGGTAGCATTATTTCTTCATATGGGATCCTGGGCTGGCTGAAAAGTAGAAAATGAGATAAGGACTAGTACTCATTGCTCTCTGCTTCCTGACTGTGGATACAGTGGGACCTCATTCTCCTTCCGTGTTTTCTCACCAAGATGAACCATATATCTTCAACTATGAGCTGAGATGAGTCTTTTCTTTGTTAAGCTGCCCTTGTCAAGTATTTTGTCTCACCATGGGAAAAGTAACTAAGACCCCTGTTAACAGTCCTAAATGGATGAACAGGCTCCTAGACACAATCGAATATCTTGAAACCCCTTGCAGCTATGTGAACTTTAGTACACGGTCTATTGATGATGTGTGATCAACAGGTACTGATTATACCACTCCAGGACTGTTGTTTGGACAGAGTCATGCTTGAGTCTGTAGTGCTTCTCTGTCTTCTGCTAGTTGGAGGACAATCAGAATTGGAAGAGATGTTTTGGCTTGACAGAGGGGAGTTCTAGGTGAGGTGATAGAGTGCATCTATCAGCTACCCTTGAGCTCTATGGGAGACCAGCACACATTTCACTGTGTAACGGTCTCTCTCTCTCTCTCTCTCTCTCTCTCTCTCTCTCTCTCCCTCTCCCTCTCCCTCTCCCTCTTCCCTCCCTCTCTCTCTCACTCTCGCTCTCCCTCTCCCTCTTATTCTTATCACTTAACAGATTGTCTTCCTTTTGAACAAATACCCAATTTGCCTTCATTTACACTATAGTGAGTTTGTCTATCTGACCTCTGAATTGCTTCAAACTATAGCTCATAAAGTAAATGAATCACAAAATGCTATTTGACATGCACTAGGCGCTTGTGAAGAGAGTTGATAGAAGAGACAGCCTACCTGACAAAATGGATGACTAAGCTTAGCTTTGAGAACTGGATGGTCCTCCTTCAAACTGACTTTTATCATACCCATTTTGCACAGTAGATAAAAGAATGGTGCTCAGAAGATTCCAAAATGCATGTTCATCTCTTTCCAGTGTGGTCTCTCAATTTATGCCAGTAATACACCGACATGCATTTTCATCCTGGATGCTACATTGATTTCCTCAATCTTTCACAATCTCTTATATTGAAGCAAGAAAGTCAAGATGTAAACACGCTTCTGGTTGAAAATGATTTGTTACTTTCTTTCTCTACATCGTATTTTTCCCATCTTTGCCCGGATCCTAGATGGCTAGAAATTTTGCAAACAGTGAAGAAAAAGGAGGCAAGGCGGCCTATAGCTGCTGATGAACACCAAGTGATGACAGTCAACAGAGGCTGAAAGAGACAGGAGAGGATCCAACTAGGACCTAGGGTTTATTTTAAACTACCAGGTTCTGTAACTGCAAGAAAACACATTACTTTAAAAAAAAGTGTGTGTGTGTGTGTGTGTGTGTGTGTGTATCAAGGTCAAAGGGCAACTTTCAGCAGTTGGTTCTATCCTTCCACCTTTATGTGAATTCCAGTTTTTGTGTTGTATGTGTTGGTTCTCCATTTTATTAGTCTTGTTATTTTAACATTATTAATTCAACATTTCCTCTATTATTGTTTCTGATGAAAAATTGGCTGTAAGTCTTCTCTTCATTACTCTGCATATAACCTGTCATTTTATGGCAAGTTTTCTCTATAATTAAATAATTTGATTATGCTGTCCAAATTTACTTGTATGTTTGAAGCTGGGTATATGGATTTATAGTTTTATTTTCTGAAAAAAAAAATCAAATAGTTTTTCTGTCCCTCTTTCTCTCTTTGGAACTTTTCTCTAGTCATATATGCAGTAGATTGCTCAAGGTGACTACATGCAACTGGTAATCTTATTAAGTTTTGTAATTCTTTTTTCTCTTTGAATTTCCCATTTCTGGTTTCTTGTCTTGAGGTCCATTAGGTTTGGGTGGTACTTCTGTAATTACCTGTTCTCATGTATTTTTTTTTCTTTTATTGAATATAGATTCTTTTCTCATACAATATATCCTGATTGCAGTCTCCCTTCCTTCTCCTCCCAGTTTCTCCCCACCCCCTCCAATCCAGATTCACTCTTTTTTTGTCTCTTATTATAAAAGAACAGGCTTTTAAGAGATAACAACCAAATATGACAAAATAAAATATATAAAATGAAGGAAAATAGTGAAGTTGGAGATGGCAACCCAATAGGAGGAAAAGACTATCGAGAGTAGGCAGAAGAGTCAGAGACCCAATGATTCTTAGTTTTTACAGTCAGGAGTTCCATAAAAATACTAAGCTATTAGCTATAATATCCATATAGAGGACCTATTACAGACCCATGTAGGCCCTGTGCTTGCTGCCTCAGTCTCTGTGAGCTCATTTGCACCTTGCTTAGTTAACTCAGAGTATATTATTTTTAGTGATCTCTATCTGTCTTAGGGTTTCCATTACTGTGAACAGACACTATGGCCAAGGCAACTCTTATAAAGGACAGCATTTAACTGGGACTTGCTTACAGGTTCAGAGATTCAGTCCATTATCATTATGGCAGGAAGCACAGCAGTGTCCAGGCAGGCAATAGCTCTGGAGGAGCTGAGAGTTCTGTATCTTCATCCAAAGGAAGTCAGGAGCAGACTGTCTCCCATGTGGCTAGGAGGAGGGTCTAAAAAGCTCACCCCCATAGTGACCACACCTACTCCAATAGGGCCACACCTACTCCAATAGGGCCACAACCTCTAATAGTACCACTCCGTGGTCCAAGGATATTCAGTTTACTATAATCCCTTTTGGCTCTTACAATTTTTCTACCTCCTCTTCTTCAGGATTCCCTGAGCTCAGAGGGAAGGTATTTGACGGAGACCTCCAATCTGGACACTCTCTCTCTTCATATAATGTCTGGGTGTGGGTCTCTGCACCCACTCCCATCTGTTGCCAGAATGGTGGTGCACACCTTTAATACCAGCACTTGGGATGCAGAGGTAGGTGGATCTCTGATTTCAAGACCGGACTAGTCTACATAGAAAGTTCCAGGCCAACCAGGGCTACACACATATGTTCTCAGATATTTTTTGTTGGTAAATGGTCACACGTCATTTGACCTCACTGAGAAGCTGGCTCCTGAAAATGGAGTGCCCATCCTGCCCCTCTGACCCTTCAGATACAAGCATGTTTACACCAAAGACTTCACCAAATCTTCTTGTATGAGGATGAATCGACCTCTTAACTCTGTGACAGGGAGGACAGAGAACAGCAGAACAACCTATTTTACAGTTTATGTTGCTAAAACATCATGACCAACAGTATCATGGGGAAGAAACTGGAAAGTTTGGCTTACATGTCCCAGTCACTATTATGAAGGGAAGTCAGGACAAAGTCTCAAGTGAGGAACTTGGAAGGCAGAAGCAGATACAGAGACCATGGAAAAAGGTTCCATGCCAGGACCATGTTGATGACTGGCTTCCTCCCCATGGCTTGCTCAGCTTGTTCATTTTTTACACTCCCAGGACCACAAGTCCAAAAGTGGCATTGCCCATAGTGATCAGAGCCTTCCCCTATCAATTATCAACCAAGAAATGTATCACAGGTCAATCAGATAGAGTCATTTTCTTAATTGAGACCCCCTCTTTCAAAATGATTCTAACATGCCAAGTTGACATGTTAACCAATTAGCACACAGCCCAGGAGTAAAATCATGTGTCTTTGGAGATAATTAGACAGTAAACCATTCCGGATAGAGGACACCGCTGTTTCCCCTGTGGCATAAAGTGCCTGCAGTGGAATAGAGGAACCAGAAGTCCAGCCCTGGGAAGCTCAGAGAGAAAGCCTTCTTGGAGACTCTCTAGCTGACCTCATCAACTTCCTCTGCTGGGTTCTGTGGGTGATTGTGCAGTCCACAATGTGAAGATGCCTGCACCTTCTTGATTTTTATTTTATTTTTTAACTAGGAAGCCTCATCAAGGGAACACTCTTCCTCCCAGGTCTACCAACTGAGAACTCAAAAGCCTTCCATGGTTGATTTCGATTGGATGGTGTGCACGTCAGGCTCAAAAGAAACTCAGGAAGGATGGCTAATTGCAGTGCCTATAGCATAACAAAGAAGAGCTAGCTGGCCTCCATGCTCCCTCAGCATCACAAATACCTGTTACAGAGTTCATGGTGGTATCCTGGCTCTTCTCAGCTCTTCTCATGCCACACCCTACCCTAAACTTCTTCAGCTAATGGGCTTCCCTTCTTGCAGATTCTGATTAC